TCTATCTCTTGTTTCTGAATGAATCCAAGTGTTAATCTCCGTTGATTTGCTTAATAATCTAATCTTGATTGATTTGCTCTTAAGCTGTCTATCTCGCTAATACCATTTTTGATTACTCACACAGCAAAGATGATGGCCCTTGGGTAAACATTGAATATGGCTATGTCGACTCGGATCAATTATTTGAAGAGTGTTTCTAATGCCCATCCCAGCTCAGCTCAGGTATATATGTCTGTTGATTTGCTTCTAATGAGATGTCCATCTCCCTTAATTGGATGCTAATTCCTTTTTAAATTATTCATTCATAGCAAGCAAGCTTTCCTGAGTGATCCATTCAATATCAATCAGGTATATATTTTTATGTTTTCAGGAACATTTTTTCTTTTTTTCTTTCCTTTTGCTGACTATTATTTGCATCCTTAGAATTAAGTGATTTCTCCATACATGATGCAGGCTGCATATCTACCATCTCATACCTATTTCCTCAACTGAGCAACATTTATACCAATGCAAGACAAAAACTGGGATTCACAAATCACATTCTCATGAATGCAATGCCATCTCTGTTGTAATTTGCTGTTTAGTGTTGTGGATGAACTTCATTTAATTAAAGCTTTTTATTGTTTCTTTAAATAATTTGTTTTACTTTGTTGTAATAAGCTCTAAAACAGATTTGACAAACTTTTTGTTTAATGTATGTGACTGTTAACTATCACACTCAACATCTTAATTTCTTTAATCACATTATATTTCCAATACCTACATACTCCATAGCAGACCAAAGGTATGTATGAATTTCTTTCCTATTTCATCTATCAATTCAGTTAAACACTCCCGTGGTTAACTTGATCACTTGAGGGCTTGAGGCTCCCTCTGTGACAACCCTCCCCTGCTGTCTTTCTCCTGCCTTCTAATTTTCTCCAGTCAAGACAATCATATTTGGAAACCAACTATATTATTTTTCAAGTCAAAAAAATTACATGGCTTGAAATTGATTGTGCCTCCTTCCTTGCCAGCTATCCCTACATTGGTAATTAGTCAATTCTACTTTTCTTATCCAATATTAAGTGGTTTTAGAATCTATTTTGAAGGATTTCATATTGTCTTCAACTGATTTGGTGGTTTTTATTTATTTATCCAAACAGCAGGAACTATGTTTTGCCCTTATCAGGGATCCTATTGAACTCGAAGCCATTTGTGTTTGATGACAAGAGATATACATGTTGCAGTAGCCAACAGGGTTCAAAACTTTCTTTTATATTTGAACTGCTTCTCTGAAGTTAAGTCTTGGCCATCCAGGCAGCACCTCAGCATATGGCCTAATGGAGGTTATGTGAATGGATATAAGAGTATAATTGGCTTATTCATGTTTCTAATACTTTGAGTATGACATAATTGTATCATTATCTTTCAACCGTTAAAGCACCTAGCTGTCCATCAATAGAGGAGCTGAAAAAAAGGACCTAGTTGTATCGTGGATAATTCATGATTATACTCTCTAAATCTTTCTTTTATCATGTAGGCCACTATGTTCTGCAACTTGCAGAACTATTAATCAATCTCAAAGGTTTTGTTTGTATGTCTTCACCCGTATTTATGTTGTAGCAATCAATGAAATTAGACTGTAGATCTTTATGTTTCTCATTTCAGGCATACGTGAATTTGATGACATACAAGTTGTAGGTGGGTCATTTGGAAACATTTGAATATTTTTTTAACTTTGTGCTGCTAGAATTACTTTTGGACACATTCTGTCTGCGATAGTATACCAGACCAGCTCTACCTCAAAGCCAAACGAGTGCATGTGTGTGACTTCAAATTAGCTAGCTGGTCTGAAAGAGTACAGGAATGCTATGAACAAAGTCGTTGATTATGCTGTTGAGAGATTGACATTTATGCCATGTCCTGCCCAGATGCCTCATTAGCAGCATCTCTTCAATGGCCATGGTGCTGAATTGCTTTGGAAGGTGATTCGACATATATATAGTAGCTCTAGAAATGAGTTCTCTAGGGATCAATTATGATTTTTATTTTTTGAAAACGAAGTATATAGTTCTATTTTGTAGGTCAAATGTTATTATGGATTACGAATGATGAGATTCATGAGAATCCATGGAGTTTGGACCCCTGTTACTCTGTACACGAAACAAATGTACAACAGGGAAAATGTTCAATCCCCTTATCGATGTCAGAGAAGTAAAGTGGAAGCCAACTGCGAGGCTACAAGTAAGCGTCGTCAATCGAACTTTCATATAGTACTTGCTGTTCTTGTTCATTTTCTGTTCATAATTTGCATGTTTTTCTTTTCCAGTAATTACAATGTTTCTTCAATGCTTAATTTGGATTCATATGTACATATTTAAACTTTTATGCTCCATTATTTTTTGCACTTATCTAATGCTTCCTTGCTTAAATTAGAGGCACCTTAGACAAATTAAATTATCACCTAGCATCATTTTTGCTGTGACCAAGCCAAGATAGAGGTTCAAATCAAGAGACTTAAGCATCTTCAGGCTTGCATTAGGACTTAATTGGGAGACACATCCTGTCATTTTGTTTAGTTGCCATTACATAATGGATTGAACATTAAAAAATTGTTGATATTGTTTTGTGTTGTTGAATTAAGAGGCTTAAATGCTGCTGTTGAAAATAAAATCACTATTGTTTTGAAGTCATCAGATCCTTTTTACTATTTAATCGTGCTGGTGAGGACCAATTGACATGCATCAATACCAAGTGAAATTATAAGATGAGACAATTTACTTAAAACAAGTATATGCAAAAATTGAGGTTTAGGAATTTGATTAAAAGTAAGGAAAGGTATTTGCATATCTCACAATTCTCTGTGTGAAATATGATTACATATTTTAAAATCGAGGGTTTTAATTCAACTTTTTTATTTTTTAAGTCTTAAGTAACTTTCAAAAGGAAAATGATGAAATTGCAATTTTTGAAAACGTTTGGACACAATTGAACAAAATAAGAAACAAGCCAAGCCTCCATAATTGCAACAAATTAAAAGTTGAGGGATTGATTGAAGCAAATTCGAAAATATGGAGGATGAATTTGAAATAATTGAACGTTTCGGGACCAAATTGCTTGATGACAGAAAGTTTTAGGCAAAATTGAAATGTGAGGTGAAAAGTAGTTGCCTTTCAAACCTTTGACCATGACTAAACGAGATTAAGAAGATTAAACTAATTAATCAAAATAATTTATTTAATTGAATAATTAATCATGAATTAATTAAAATTAATTAAAATTAATTAAAATAATTAATTACTTTTATTTAATAAAAATTTATTTTAATAAAAGAAACGTCTCAACGTTTTAAACGTTAAGATGTCTAATAATAATTATATGATAAATTTAATAAAAAAAACATTATATTTCAAGTATTTAATGACTATCATTACATATAAAATGTTAAAACATTTTAATTTATTATTTTCTCATTAAAATAAATAAATAAATGAATTTCTTTACCTTAATTAAAGCTAATTAATGCAATCAATTGGTTTTAATTAAAATTAATTAAATTAATTAATCACCCTTCTAATCAATTATAAAGATTTTATATTACAGTTTAAAAAAGAAAAAAAGAAAAAAACTTTTTATTGAGCCTATTACTTATTATTGAGCCAAACCACAAGCCTGTTGCAGTCTTTGTGAGCTAGGCCCAATTCCCTTTTTTGGGCTTTTCTTTTGTTAAGATATTTAATTTAATTTAAAACGCCCGTGGGGCATGACCCATTTCATATCTTTTTTTAGGCTTTTTTAGCCCATAACATATAAATTTATTAGGTCGGATCAACCCGACCCACAAACACGACTCTTATAGCTAAACGGGTAAAAATAGATCAAAACCTAGATCGAAATTCGGAACTTAGGGTTTATAGTGCTCGTCCAAATTTCACCTGAAAAGACTTTAATGGTATGTTTGGAAACATGATTTTTATAGAGTGCACTTGAATTTGAATCTTTCAAATTCAATATCACTATTTATTTTTATAAAATAAATATATAATTAAATTTATCTCAAATACATGTAATTAGGTTAACATATTTCATTACTTTAAAACTGTGTAACCCTGCTCACGAGATAGTCACCAAATCCTTCTCCTCACTACCTCTTCATTATACCTCTGCGCTCAAGTAGATCTTACTCGCACGACACGTGCCCGGGAGGCATACTTTTGGACATCAGACCGCCCTTCTTGTCATCATTTTTAAGTGCCTCGGTTCTCCGGGATAAATTTTTGGAGGTTTCAGCGCGGCTGTAAGTCAAGAGAAGGTTTTGAGAGCCAACCCATTTGAGTTGCTCGCAGACCATTCTCTCGGCCATTCACATGACGATCAAGATTTGGAACTTCGGATGAATAGGTAAATTCAAGGAGTAACAAGATAATTTCTCAAAAAAAAAATCAAGATAAAAAATAGTCACCTCTTGTAATGGCAACGAAAAATTAATCAACCAAATTAAGAAAAAATATATATAAAGTATTACCCAAGCGGTGAAAAAAAAAAGGGATAGGGCGAACCGTGAAAAAGAACTTAAAAAGTCGTGCACACCACATTCAGGGAGTAACAAGATAAAAAATAGTCATATCTTGTAATGCAACTAAAAATTAATCAACCAAATTAAGTAAAAAAAAACATAAAGTATTACCCAAGCGGTGAAAAAAAAATGAGAAGGGCGAACCGTGAAAAAGAACTTAAAAAGTCGTGCACACCGGCGAGGCGTTTACACACAAAATCGGTTAAGTATTTGTTTAGTATAAAGATTAAAATTTAGTAGATAATATATAATGAGTAACAGATAGTAAATAATGATAATGAATAATAGGTGAGGATTAATGGATAGTAAATAATAAGGAAAAAAATATTTTTAAGAAAAAAATGTTTTACACAAAAAATTGTATATTAAATGTACAATTTGTTTTATAAATTTATTTAAATATTTTAATAAAATTATTTTCTTATTATTTTATTAAAATTAT